TTTGGTTGTAGTATTATTATTCAGTTCTATAACATTCTGAAAAAATGTTAGTGGTCACTGTGGTGTGGGCTATAGGAATGTGCCTTTTAAGGGTCATAGGTTCGAGACCTGGTCTTGGATTTTTAAAGTTTCTATGCTACTTAGTATTTTTGTTAAAGTGACCAATTTGTATTGGTTTGCCCTTTTACCAATGTAGATTGGATAAAAACACTACCAAATTAGATTGGTTGTTTCAACCAAAAGATTGATTGTACACTTAACTTCAGACCAGATTAACTGTGGAAAAAATATTATTTTTCAAAAAGATGAATAATACATTTCATTTTGCACATCATTTCCCAAGTTCCACAAGCACTTTTAATTCAATTCAATTCAGTTTATTTATATAGCGCCAGTTCACAACACATGTCATCTCAAGGGACTTTACAGTTCACCAGATCATACAGTCAATTTGATTCAAAGTTGTCTATCTAAAGAAAACCAGTTGAAGCTCATTGACTCGAATGCAATCCCTCATACTGAGCATGCTTGTAGCGACAGTGGAGAGGAAAAAGTCCCTTTTAACAGGAAGAAACCTCCAGCAGAACCAGGCTCAGTGTGAGCCATCTGCCGAGGCCAACTGGGGTTCAAGGAGACAGAAGCAGAGATACAAAAAGCAGCTGTAACTTCCATGTCAGAGGATGAAGAAAGCACATTCAGCCAGTCACAGTCAGAGAACAAGGACTACACTGGAAAACAGGCTGATCTCCAACAACTATACACAAGGGTGTTGATGGCAGCAGCAGCACTGATATTTCTCTCCAGGATGGAGTCACAGCCAAACAGACCAGATGAAGCTACTATGAGAAAAAGCAGAGAGAGCATAAGGTTAGAGATTCAACTAACAGATTCTGCAGAGGGGGAGAATAGAGATAGAATGAAGCAGAATGATGAAAAAGGGGTCCCTATGTCCTCCAGAAGTCTAAGCCTATAGCAGCATAACTATAGAGATTGCTCCTTTTATAGACGTCTTCTTATATATATATATATATATATATATATATATATATATATATATATATATATATATATATATATATGTCTTATGTCACTAAAATGACTAAAAACAAGCAGTGTACCTTAAAAGATTGTTATTTTCTAAGTCAAATTTAGACACAAAAAACATACAAAATATTTTATTATAAACATCAATTATGAACACATTCAAAGGGACTTTAATAAAAAAAGAAAAACTATTGAAAACCTCAGATGATATTGCTAACTATAGTTATGCACTGCGCCTGTAGGTGGTGTTATGTTCACATGAAGCTCCATGAAATGTGTGATTTGTTGAACCAATTTGGCCACATGCTTTAATGCCTCATGAGGCTTCATCTCAGCATCACTATTTAAGAGTGAAATTCAATTGTGCACACCATTTAATCTTACTAGTCTGTCCGTTTGTCACCCTGGTCATTCTCAGATTGGCCTAAGACAAAGATCTGATCCAGCATTTTAGAGTGGTGTCAGTTGGCGCAGTTCTAAGCAGTTGTGGTCCAAGGGGACATGGTTATGGAAGCCTTGTTCCATAAGCACTTTCTATGTTAGAGAAGGTAATGGAAACGTTGTTTCTTTCTAAAAAAAAGTAAGTCTAGTAGTTCAGCTGACAGCCTATCTGCCATCATGGGGCACCCGGGGAGCAGTGTGAGGTTAAGGGTCTTCCTCAAAAACCTAGAGTGGCAGTCTGTGGGTGTGGGGCTCAAACTCAGAACCTCAGGATTCCAAGCTCTATGCCCTAACCACTAGGCCGCCACTCCCCCTACAATACATACAAGTTTTTCATATCTTCATTTTTTTGGTGTCTGCAAGTTGCATCTTGACTGCAGCATGATTGGAATTTAAACTGTTAAAAGTTTTTCAACAATCAGATAATTCAATATAATGAACTCTATGCTGAATTACATCATTTGAGGTTTAGAGATCAATGCAGTGTGTGATCATTGTGGGTAAGACAGAGGTATGGGGCAATCATGTTTACATCTTTGAAAAGGTATTAATCTACAAGAGACTGGTGAGGACGTCACCTGATCTATACTCATTGTTTGTAATGTCTGCAAGGACTTTATTATAGCGTTTTATCTAGCAACACTAATAGTCCTAATTCTGCATTACACTCCACAATGTTTAATTTTATTTATTGGACTTCATTTTACTCCTAATTTTAACCCCTTTTAAAATCTATACTCTGACTTGCACTCATCAAGGCAGCTTATCAGGGGCAGCAATCTCAGCAGAGGCTCTAGACTTCCATACCACCAGACACCCCCTGCAGCTTTGCTACGGGAAGCTCAAGGTGCTCTCTGGGCTGCTGACAGACATAGTCCATCCAGTGTGTCCTGGGTTGTCCCCTGGGCCTTTTCCTGGTGGGTTGTGTCTGGAACACCTCCAGAGGGAGGCATTGAGGGAGAGGAGTCACTTTAGCTGACTCCTCTCAATTGGAAGGATGTTCTTTCGATCATGATCCAGATTTCACGATCACAGTTGAGGATAGGAACGTAGACTGACCTGTAAATCTAGATCTCCGCCTTTTTGCTCAGCTCTCTGTTCACCACAACAGATGCAGCCTCACTTATCGATCTGTTGATCTTCAGCTTCATTCTCACCTCAAAAAATACAACTGATGCTGTCTAATTAGTTATTGCAGATCAGTGTGTCTGGCTGCATTCGTTTATCACTTATGTGGCAGTTTCTAATGTAGCTTTATACTTGTGCTGCACTTTAAACCTTTCGTCAAAACAAGCCATCAGCCAAAAAAAAACAAAAATAGTGTTTTTGTTCCAGAAACTATCTAGTACAAAATTAATTAATACAAAAAGCATATGACTCGACAGCAAAACTAGCAAGATGTTTTTTTCATCCAGATTGAAAGACCAGGTAAAGAGAAGGAAAAGATAACCAAGAGGCCTGTGGTAGCTTGGAAAGAGGTTGTTGAGTTTTACAGTTCAGGTTGGTTAATCTGTGTAGTCCTGTTGCTTTGGAAGACAAACTAGAATAAAGCTGCAGTTAAAAAAAAACATAAGAAGACTCATGTAGAGTTTGTCACAATACATGTTGTACTGTCAAGTTGGAGAACTTGTTAAACACTGCAAAAAATCAAAATCTTGATAAGTAATTTTTTCTTAAAATAAGTGCATTTGTCCTTGAATTGTGGAGATAAAAGTGACATCTTGCCAATGGAACAAGACAATTTAGATTTGAAATAAGAAAACACAATTGCATTGTCTTATTTCAAGTGAATATCATCTAATTATCTTATTTTAAGAGTAAAAAAACAGATTTCATTGGCAAACGATCTCATTTACCCACTCAAATCAATGGTAAATACACTTAATTTAAGAAATGTTTACTTATTTCTAGATCGTTTTTCCAGTGAAGGTGTTTACATATTAATGGAGATTTCCCTGCTGGCTAGAATCTAATTGAAATTCCTCTGGAAAACTTAAGAACAAATATTTATAAACCCTGTCTTAAAGCCCACCAAAGACTGAGATTTTTTGCAAATAAAAAGGGAAAAATTAAAAGCAGGCTGGTAGAGGCAACAAAAAAGAGACACATAATGCAAATTTCAACCTAAGATTTTTAGATAAGTTACTTAAACTGATGATTTAAGATTTATATTTCAGAAAATGCTTCATAATTCTGATCTATTTCATTTCTGTCACATGAAACCCCAATAAAATACATTGAAATATAGAGTTTTCAAGTGATAAAATGTATAATGTTCAAAGACTATGGTAACTTCCAGAGGCACTGTATAGTATTAATGCTAGAATATTTAATATAGCAGTATGGGATTTAAAAAAACATTTGCTTCTTGATAACAATGAACCTCTCCCTATGTTCAGGCATGCAAATTAACATGCGATAGAAAATGGAATCATTTATAATGTCAAGAAAAAATTCACTGACTCATTAACATAACATGGTATCCTGGTCTGTCTTTGAGAGTAAAAGATGCAGACATGTATTTGGTCCTAATGATATGACAGTTAACAGATTTATGTGCTCCAGCCTGTGTTGGATCATAGATGCACAGTCACCTCCAGCAGGAAGCAGAATTGGGCTGTCACTCAAATAGACAACCGTGAAAGGGCACAGAGCCCTGAAGGATATATTAATAAATAAAATACAGCTCAGGGGTAAACACACACACACACACACAGTACAAAGTCTGCCAAAACAGAGACGGCCCAACATCCTCTAAACCAGCTGTTGTGCATCAGTCGCTTCTATAATCGACAGACACATTTTCTCTCCTTTAAAACCAATTGGAGTTGGTTTACGATTCATCCTTGTTTGTCCAGAGGAAACTAAGAGGGTTGTACAAGTATGGAAGAGGACTAAAACATTTGGAGCTCAAAATCCACTTTTATCAGCATTCAATAATCAGCACACTTAGATCAGTAAATATAGATTTTGCTTGGGATTAAGATACAAGCTTTGAATGCAGTAGTACCATTACCCTAATTAAAGTTTTAAAAATGACCCAGTTTACAGTATCTTGCATAGGTGATGGATCTCAGTGTCAAGTGCATTGTTCCTTTCACTCTTTTACTGTCATGATTGTGATCTAGCACCACATTTTGTCCTGATCCTTTTTCCAATATCAAGTCCCTTCCATTTTCACTCTCACCTCTCCTTATTGTGTCCTTTTCACTATTCCCCTGATTTGCACTTGAAATCAATAGATGAAGATCTTATGGTGTTTGTTAATTTTCAATAAAGTTATGTGTGGATGTAAATATTTTTTTTTAATTGAGTATCAGGGAAGTTCAAACACAGAAATTGAAATAAAATAAGCGACTCTTTACTTAATGATTTTATTCCCTCTAATACTATTTGTCTTTGTGCACTGATTAGATATTAAGCAAATAAAAAATACATTTATGTGTTTGCTGAAGTATCTCTTATCTACACCATGGCTTATCATTGCATCTGTGTGATTCATTTTTCCTCTGCAGGAGGTGTTCACACCAGAGTGTAGATTTAAGGAGTCAGTTTTTGAAAACTACTACGTGATCTACTCGTCGACTGTGTACCGGCAGCAAGAGTCGGGCAGAGCATGGTTTCTCGGTCTCACAAAGGAGGGACAAGTCATGAAAGGCAATCGGGTCAAGAAAACTAAGCCTTCATCTCACTTTGTGCCCAGGCCTATTGAAGGTATGAAAATGTTTAAAGCAAAGCTATAAACTCTTAGCTTGTTTTAAATGTACATTTTTAGTAAGTCATTTAAACTATAGCAGTTTTTGGTCTAAACTGTCCTTTTAGAGCAGAGGTCACGCATTAGCGGATCTGGACCCACCTGCTGGGTAATCCGGACCCAAGCTGATTTAAAATATTTATAAATTACCACATGTCCGATGACAGTGTCTAACTTCACTTGCCCCCCTTCTTCCGTTAATTTGGTAGAGCCCTTCGGAGCGGCTACATGCGATACAAATTAGCCAATGAGCTTTGTTAGTCTGGGTCACTGCTGCCAGCCACTTTTAGACATAGCAGGCAAACCTATGGCAAGCCGGGCGATGGGAAAGAAGGAAATAACTTTTTTATTTATGCATAACATGGATGCATAAACACATCATTTTATTTCTGTGTTAAATTCTGTTTAAAGTAAGAGATTATCATTAAAAATGTCTCTGGAGCTTTACTGGTTGATGATTTTCTTTATTCTGACCCCACTGATTTTTAATTGGTTACCCCTGTCTTAGAGGATTATAAGAGAATTAGTGCACTCTGATTATTAAAATAGCTCCATCCATAAATACTGTTTGCAGTTCCCAGAAAACACTAAGCTCAGATTACATGTGAGCCTGAGAGTTGTTGAAAATATGTCATCCCTTTTTCCCTATAAAGCTCTAAATGAAACAGGGCTTTTTTTTTTCTTCACTGATGTTTATTTGACTAACTTACGATACATTTTTTTCTCATCTAGCAGGATGACACTTGCCAATGTACTGCCAAAAACTGTATTGAAAATAAATACATCTACTTACAGGATCCCTACATGGGCATTACCAGTCTGTGTAAAAACATTTTCAAAGACTAAAGTATGAAAAAAGACTTTTTCACAGAAAATGACGTGTAGACACTTTAAATTTATTTAGATTTAATTATATAATTTTTTCCATATAATTTATCCTTTAAAAATAAAGTTTTAAACCGAATGTGTGGTACATAAACTGAGCATTATCAAAGTGGGTTCAGAAGCCAAACAAAGCTTTGAGCCACGTTTTTATTTTTAGCAGAATAAAAATATCAAAGTTCCCAAACTTTGTTTTGTAAAATCATTTCAGATTTGGTAAGTCAGATATCAGACATGTTTAACTGAAACAGGTCTAATTTAAATCACCCTTAATGAACCCTTTACCAAATTAAAAGCCAACACCACTCTCAAGCTGTTTAATCATTTGTCTAGAAGTTAGAAGTCCCTTTCACAGCGTTCCGTTCTGAACAAATGTCAGAATTCTATTTTTGTTTCACAAACAATAATTGTGAAACAAAAATAGTTATAAAATATATGGTTGCAGAAGTATTTTAGAGAACCCTTATTCATATGCTAATTTGAACTTTGAAAATATCACAAATTTTAAGGCCTTAAAATGCTCTTTTTAAGGTTCCAAAACTATGTTAAGAAAAAAACAAGCTTTCGGACAGAGTGGTCATAATAGCTGTTTCGACAAAGCTTTACTAAGTCTTATCAGCTGTTTGTGTTTCTGTCAGGGGATCGGTCTTATCATGAGAACTTGTCAAGCAGTGTGATTATAGAAAAATGCTGACATTGTCCTTGTTCCCTCTTCTTTTCCCTCTCAGCCCAGTATAATTATCCCAGCCTCACACCTGACCTTGTCCATGTCTGCACACCCATCTCTTCAATCTACTCCAGTCCCCTTCTGATCACCTCCTATCTTTGTCCTTTTCTTTTCTCCTATTTGTTTGCATCTCTGCCACAGTTTGTATGTACCGGGAGCCATCGCTGCATGAGATAGAGGACAAGCACCGCTCCAGAAAGAGCTCAGGGACTCCCACCATGAACGGAGGGAAAGCTGTCAATCAAGATTCCACATAGCACCAGTTACAGGGATTTCCAGTAGGGGGTTGGGGTGAGGGATGTTGGGTTGGCATCTTCCTGACTTAGGGGGAAGGGGCCAAGATAAAGAAAAAAAAAAAACTTCACCATTCCCCCTGAGATTTCTGCCCCTCCATACTCTTTTTAAACAAAAGAGGGTGTGGAACAGCTGCAAGGAGCTATAACTGTACAACCAAGAAAACAAGAACAAAACTGAACTCTTGCCTGTGAAAATGTTTTAGATATATATATAAATATATATATTCTTGACCAACATTTTATGCAAAACTGATAAAAAAAAGGCTGTGAAAACAAAGGAAATATGTTCTCTCTTCACATATATACAAATATGTCATTTTTATTTTAAGTTGTGAAAAAAGCTTTAATACATGTTGAGTTTTCATTCAAAACCCTTTTCCTACACATTGCTGCACTTTAATGGATTATTGGGTTAAATTTGTAAATGATATCCTCAGCATTTATCATTATAACTCTCATTACTGATTTACTGAGTGGAATTCAATATCAGTGACAGTAATAGTGGTTCGTTTATGGGGTTTTTTCTGTTACGTTTTTTTTTTTCATATATCATCTTCAATGGAAGATCAAAGGTTAAGGTTGAAAGTTATCAATGGTAGGATGTTATTTACTCAGGTGTGTACTGTAAGTTAGACCAATGTGACTCAGAGGGGATGAACTTCCCTGTGTTATCCTGCTGCTGCAGGATAGAAATACATTAAGCAATATCATAAAGGGCAATTTGGGATGTTTTAAAAGGAATGTAATAATGAGCTAAGATCACATTGCTGCTCTCTACAAATGACCCACAAAGGAAGTTGCATAAGTGGGTAAATATTATCTATCTTGGTACAGTTTTATACGATAGCAAAGATTGTCAATTTTTGTGCAGACACGAGCAAACTGTGCAAAATAGAATAAAATAAGTTGCTCTCCAAAAGCTGAAATGCCAGTAATGACCAGCATCGATATTTTGAGCCATTGCTGCTAAAAGGTTACTATATATTTGCACCTCAAGAGATACTGTTAGCTGTAAGAAACCACAAAATATAATTATATTAAGAACTACTTGGAGATGGAGAAATCAAGAAGTATTCTTTGACGGAAGATGTGATCTTGCTTTGTTAGGATGAAAGAGAAGCTGTCAAGAATGTTATGATCCACAATCTCTTTTATGTTTATTATGAAATTATTAGTGATCTTTTATTATTGTTGGACAGGATGCCTGACTGTTGGATAATTCACTGCTAAAATTTCAACACCATTATATCTGCTTTTCCATCACGCTGAAAGCTAAAAGTTCGATTGAGTAACGATCCATGAAAGGAGCTATTCACTGTATCATGAAGAAGAGTTTATTTTTCATAAATCTACACTCTTACAGGGCTGTTTAAACTTGCCGATTTGACTGGTACACCTCATCCTGTGTAGTTTGCTACACTCATTCCTAGCCTCCTTTTGAGTTTATCTATCTCAGGAAGTCTCCCAGCTGTTTCAGTCATGGAATCGGACTTAAAAGATGGCTGCTTAATGCTCCAGGTCACATTGCACAAAGCCTGGCGTTTTGGCATGGAGGTGGCCCTAACCGTGTTAGGAAGGCGAGACAAAGAAAACAGACAAAGCATGACCATCGCATGACTGTAATAGTTTCTTTTAAGTTTTATGTGATTCTAAAAACAGAACAACAGTTTGACTTCTGGGAGCATTTGTCCAAACATTTTATATGCAATGTTGATTTCTGTATTTTAGTGTAGTTTATATATATATATATATATATATATATATATATATATATATATATATATATATATATATATATATATATATATATGTCTACTACTGTACATTTGGGTGGAAACCATTGATTGCCATGTTGGTAGTTTGTACAGTAAATAGCACACATTCAGCTGCACAGAGCAAACAGCAGTGGTTGTATAAGCAATGTGACTAAGGAGGGTCTTCCACTTGGACTCCAGGCTCACAACTGATGCCTGCAAGAGCTAATGGTAGATTAGTTCAACTTCCACTTCACCTCCTGCAATACTGCATTACTGTGAAACGTACATTACATATTAATGTGATACTGAAAGTCAAAAGGCAAGACCAGCATATAAGTATCTTTTTATAGACGTTTATATTGTATAAATGAGAAATATATGGAGTTAACACAGTGCATGAGTTGTACATTGTCAGCTGACAGAGTTTGAAAATGAATGAAGTGGGTTAGGAGGTGAAAAACAGCAAAGCACTTTTTGGTGGGTTTATTGATGTGCGATAAGGGGGCAAAGACTTTGGTTTTTTGAATTATTAATTCAAATTTAATATTTTTATGTTTTGCAGATGATTTCACTGCAATCAAACACCCATGTATGCATTATGAATTGTGAGATTACAAAAAATATGCATTGATTATAAAATTCAGAATGAAGTTAGTGGTTGTTTAAGAATAAAGATTATGTTATCAAAAAAATGCCCTGTGAGTGACTGAATCAGTGAGTCGCTGGTAATGTATCACTGTAACATTTATGCCAAATATAGTCCTGAAAATGTTGACTGATCCAAAATATGCAGTAAGACACTAAACCTCAAAACTCTCCTCCACTGGAAGTTTGACTTCTGAGATCAGCTTTGCATCGCTGTTTAGGATTGAATTGGGACACAAGTTAGCAGTGCAAGACGTCGTTGTCACTGAAAAGAAGATATAGAACGTAAACTGGCACTTCAAAAGTGATACAGAAAAAGACAGAACAAGGTAAGAGAAACACTTGACTGGCAGTTTAATTCCACACACATTTCACTTGTCTGCACATCACCAGCCAAGTGCAGATGGTATAGCTCCGTCTTTTAGACAAAATTTGATCACAAATGATGTGCTGACCTTGCTCAGGCTGGAAAACATCACTACGTAGTCAGAGTAATATAACAGCCAACCAGCCAGGTAATGGCAACAGTCAAAATCAAGCTATAGTTCTTCCATCACATAAATGCAGCACAAACCCTGGGCTTCACTTTTGATTTATTTCTTTTGATTTTTTTTTGTTTGTTTTAAGACACTCAAGAGAAAAACTGTCACACAAAATAGAGCTTTTATTGACAAACAGCAAACTTGAACTGTTCTCACCTAGTATGGAACATCCATTTTATGTCTAAACAGGCTATTAAAGTACAAATTAGAAAAAAACTTATTTAGATGTCTAACCAATAATACACGGTCATGTTTCCTCTATTATTGGAAACTGCACATAAAATTTACCCTGAAGCACAGCAACTTGTTTTAAATGTTGTTTAGAATGCACACTTTTTATAAGGACATCATGGTACATACAGTTTGTTACCTCCATCATTTACAAGGACGGATTCATCTTCTCACTAGCCCTTTAATCCAATGTGTCATTTTGGGATGGCTCTCCTTTCCCCTTAATTCTCTGTTGTCATGGAAACAGACCTTTCGTGTCTTCTGCAAGGAGAAAACGGAGGAGTAGGAGGATGAATGCTCCCCTGGCTTTTCGGACGTCTCCTGTATTCTCCCCTGCATGTTGAAGAACAGCAGGAGTGTGTGTGCATGCACGTGTGTGTATGTGAAGAAGTTCTATTTCAGAGTTTCCCTAGGTCACAGCAAAGAGGATAGTATAGAACAAGCCTGCAACCTGCAGCAAGAAATGTCTGCTCCCAATGAGAAAAACACAAAGTGAAAAAGGTTTACAGGTAAAGAGAAAAAGGAGCTGCTGAAGCTTTTTCAATTAGTTATTTTTATCATGTGGCTTAAAGGGTTTCCTGCCTTCAAGTGTACTGGTTTTTGACAATTATTCAAATCTGCATTGCATGATTCTTCATATTCATTACTTGCGACTAACATTTTCTGTTGATGTCACAGTTTTAAACAAGTAGCTTAGCGTTATCCATATTATATTATTACCACAACAAATTTAGAAATAAATGCAACAAAATCATTTGCACTCTATAATCTGTTTATAAAATTATAAATTTTAGGAATAGCCATAGATTTATGAAAATCCGATTGAGCTCTTGTATTTTTTGTGAAATTAATCGGGTAGATTTGACCCTACTTGACCTAAGGTTAGTCCTCACTGTTTAAGATAAATCTGAAAGACCCACCCTCACCTCTAGAGGAGGACACCCACTTATCCTCCTCCAAAGAATCTTACACTAACTGGAGACAAATGTCCCAGTGAAGCTTACTGGAGTGGGATGGATTTAAAATTAAATATAGAGGTAAATAAGAACTAAACTATAAGGTGGCTCTAGAAATAAGACCCTTTGAAATATGAAGATAAATGACGAAGGTTATAGGGGAACTAAAAATCTAATTTAAACATGTTAATTCAATTCCTAGGGAGTTTATTTCAACACTTTTAAAGTGTCTGTATTGGTCAGCAATAGATCGCGTTACACATTTCAAATAGTTGCAACTCAACACTAATCAAATGTTAACTCTACAGTCTAGTGTTGACCATTCACCCATTCATTCTGGTGAGCTACATTGTAACCACAGTTTCCCAGGGGCATACTGAAAGAAGCGAGGCTGCCGTACACAGACAGGCTGGTTTATATGCTGCACAGTGGCATAATTTGTAGTACTCTTACCTTGTAGCAAGTAAGGGGTTCAATTCTTTTTGTGTGGAATTTGCATGTTCTCCCTGTGCATGTGTAGTTTCTTTCGAGGTATTCCGACTTCCTTCCATAGTCAAAAAAACATGACTGTCAGGTTAATTAGGGGCAGCAACTCTTTGGAGGAATTCATTCAGTTTAATTAGACTAGACAAGTGTTAAATTTAAACCACATTCTTAACATACAATGCCAGCACTGATAACCTAACCAATTTGATTTTGCTTTGTATCATAAAAACAGCCAGAATCACCATAGCTTCAGCAAGAAGACCCTACAGTATGAATTGACTCAAAGAGGGAGGTAAAACCGATTCACTTTAAAGTCAAAGCACGTTCCTTTTTCTCGCTGACATCTGCTCAGGAACCAAAAACGTATTTCCCCTTGATGTGCTTCCTTATTGTCAGCAGAATAAATTCTTAGCTGATTGCTGGTAAAAACTCTCAGTCATTCTTGAGTCTTAGTAGAAGATCTTTATATCTTTATATCTGATGGCAACTTTGGAACTTGACAAGACAATCAGGATATCAAATGGCAAGAAATACTTGGAAAAAATCACTCTTCATCAGTTTTGTGGTTCCACCGAACTTTATATTCTTATTTTTCTGTAAAGCAACTGTGCCAACAGTGGGATTTTACATGTCTTTGCTGAAAGCTGACAGATTTGCTCTTTTACAGGTTAAGAGACATAAATGTATTAGTTTACCAGGTAAGAAATTCTTCCATAACTAATTTCCAAATTAAGAATTTTGCAAAAAAATTGAATGGATATTGAATTCTGGACTAAAACTGGAGGATGTATTTGTTAATATACCTATACATGCGGTTTTTGTCCCCTAGACCTGTGAGTGTGCAGATGAGAATAATAAAAATAGTAAAATTCCATTGCTTCCTTTTTTCTTTTTTTTTTTTAGAGTTTTTTTGTTTTGGAAATGTGCCTGTCTTTGCCTCTGGGACTCAACTTGGAACTTTGTCTCTCATTCTTCATGCCAGTGAATGAGGAAACTCCTACTTCGAAGTAGGGTGTTCAGTGCTACTCATTAAAAATAATTAGCCTGTGTTTAATTAAGACTCAGTTATGCTCCTTTGATGTAGCTGGGTCGTTATTTTCAATCCAAATGCCTGGGAGTCATAATA